TCCCAGGAACCAGCCCCCAAATCCCAGGGAATGAGTCCCCAAATCCCAGGAATGAGCCCCCAAATCCCAGGAATGAGCCCCCAAATCCCAGGAATCAGCCCCCAAATCCCAGGAATGAGTCCCCAAATCCCAGGAATGAGTCCCCAAACCCCAGGAATGAGCCCCCAAATCCCAGGAATCAGTCCCCAAATCCCAGGAATCAGCCCCCAAATCCCAGGAATCAGCCCCCAAATCCCAGGAATGATCTCCCAAATCCCAGGAATGAGCCCCCAAACCCCAGGAATGAGTCCCCAAATCCCTGGAATCAGCCCCCAAATCCCAGGAATCAGTCCCCAAATCCCAGGAATCAGCCCCCAAATCCCAGGAATGATCTCCCAAATCCCAGGAATGAGTCCCCAAATCCCAGGAATCAGCCCCCAAATCCCAGGAATCAGCCCCCAAATCCCAGGAATCAGCCCCCAAATCCCAGGAATCAGCCCCCAAATCCCAGGAATGAGTCCCCAAACCCCAGGAATCAGCCCCCAAATCCCAGGAATCAGCCCCCAAACCCCAGGAATGAGCTCCCAAATCCCAGGAATGAGTCCCCAAATCCCAGGAATCAGCCCCCAAATCCCAGGAACCAGCCCCCAAATCCCAGGAATCAGCCCCCAAATCCCAGGAATGAGTCCCCAGACCCCAGGAATCAGCCCCCAAATCCCAGGAATGAGTCCCCAAGTCCCCAAATCCCAGGAATCAGCCCCCAAACCCCAGGAATGAGTCCCCAAATCCCAGGAATCATCCCCCAAATCCCAGGAATCAGCCCCCAAATCCCAGGAATCAGTCCCCAAATCCCAGGAATGATCTCCCAAATCCCTGGAATCAGCCCCCAAATCCCAGGAACCAGCCCCCAAATCCCAGGAATGAGCCCCCAAACCCCAGGAATCAGTTCCCAAATCCCAGGAACCAGCCCCCAAATCCCTGGAATCAGTCCCCAAATCCCAGGAATCAGTCCCCAAATCCCAGGAATCAGTCCCCAAATCCCAGGAGTGAGTCCCCAAATCCCAGGAATGAGCCCCCAAATCCCAGGAATCAGCCCCCCAAAAGCATTGCCCCCACTTCCAGCCTCCCCAGGTGCCGGGACCACCCCGGAATTCCGGGAATTCCGGGAATTCCGGGATTTGGGTACCGTTGATGACCTCCTGCCGATCCACCTCGCGCTGGCTCAGGCTGGCCAGGAGCTCCCGGCTGACCGAGTGCTGCCAGCTCTGGGAATTTGGGGAATTCTGCTGCCAGCTCTGGGAATTTGGGGAATTCTGCTGCCAGCTCTGGGAATTCGGGGAATTCTGCTGCCAGCTCTGGGAATTCGGGGGATTTTGGGATTCGGGATCCGCCTCCAGGTCGGGGACGGGGCCCTGCTCGTCCTCCAGGAGGTGCGGGAGGAGGGGGTCGGCCCCGAAGGGAGAGTCCATGCTCCTGGAATTGGGAAAAATCGGGAAAAATTGGGGGGGGAAAAGAGAGGGAAAGGGGGGAAAGGGAGAAATGGGAAACAATGGGGGAAATAGGGAAAAAATGGGGAAAAAAGGAGGGGAAAATGGGAAAACTGGGAATGGGAATTCTGGGGGGGTCGCTCACCTGCGCCCCATCTTTGGCGTGTAAGGGGGGGTGGGATTTTCCAGGGATCTGGAAAAAGAATGGAAAAATCCTCCTGGGGTGTCCCAAAATCCCCAATTTTTCCCCATCCTGACGAGTTCACCCTCAAAATCCAGGGATTCAACCCCAAACCCCATTACAGTCCGTGGATTTTTCCAAGGATTCTGCAGGAATTTGGGACCCGAAGGGAAAAAAACCCTCCATCCATCCCCCTCAGTCCCATTCCCGAAAACCCCAAATCCCAAACATTTCCCCATCCCAATTTCCCCTCCTTTCCCAGACTTCCATCCCAATCCCCAAATCTGGGGCTGGAATTTTGGGAATTTCTGGATTTCCCACCTGTTGGAGAGGCCGGAGGTGCGAAAATTCCCAGAAAACCCCAAATCCCAAACATTCCCCCATCCCAATTTCCCCTCCTTTCCCAGACTTCCATCCCAACCCCCAAACCCGGGGCTGGAATTGTGGGAATTTCGGGAATTTCTGGATTTCCCACCTGTTGGAGAGGCTGGAGGCGCGAAAATTCCCAGAAAACCCGAAATCCCAAACATTCCCCCATCCCAATTCCCCTTCCTTTCCCAGACTTCCATCCCAATCCCCAAATCTGGGGCTGGAATTGTGGGAACTGTGGGAATTCTGGGAATTTCCCACCTGTTGGAGAGGCCGGAGGTGCGAAAATTCCCGAAAAACCCCAAATCCCAAATATTTCCCCATCCCAATTTCCCCTCCTTTCCCAGACTTCCATCCCAACTCCCAAACCCGGGGCTGGAATTGTGGGAATTTTGGGAATTTCTGGATTTCCCACCTGTTGGAGAGGCTGGAGGCGGAGGAGGAGGCCGAGTGCAGCCGGGGGGTGTCGCTCCCGGTGCTCCCGGAATTCCCGGAATTCCCGGTGTCCATGTCCACGTCGCTGCGGGATCGCGGCACGGGCTCGGCGCGCCGGGAGCGCCGCAGCTCCTCCCGCCCCTTCAGCGACTCCGAGCGGCCCAGGCGCACCTCGGGCGGGCAGCTGCTGGGAAACGGGGAAAATCCCGGAATTCCGGCACAAATCCCGGGATTCCAGGCAAAAATCCCGGGATTCCAGGCAAAAATCCCGGGATTCCAGGCAAAAATCCCCAGGAATTAGAGGGAAACCCCCAGATCAGCTGCACCTCGCAGCGGGAGGTGCTGGGAACAGGGAAAATTCTGGAATTCCACAAGAATTCCGGAAAAAAAAAAAAAATCCCACGATTCCAGGCAAAACTCTCCAGGAATTACAGCAGGAATCCCGTGATTCCAGGTGAAACCCCTGGGATTTAGGGAAACCCCCGGGATTTAGGGAAACCCCCCGGGATTTAGGGAAACCCCCGGGATTTAGGGAAACCCCCTGGGATTCAGGTGAACCCCCATGGGATTTAGGTGAAAACCCCAGAATTTTGGGGAAAACCCCTGGATTTTAGGGGAAAACCCAGAATTTTAGGGAAAACCCCAGAATTTAGGGAAAAAAAAACCAGAATTTGGGGAACCCCCCAGGATTTTGGGGAACCCCCCAGGATTTGGGAACCCCCTGGGATTTGGGAACCCCCCGGGATTTAGGGAACACCCCCCGGGATTCAGGACCCCCAGGATCCGGGATTCCTGGGATTCGGGATTCCCAGGATTCGGGATCCCCCCCGGGGATTCGGGAACCCCCCCCAGGATTCGGAAACCCCCCGGGATTTAGGGAACACGCCCTGGGATTCGGGATCCCCGGGATTCGGGATTCCCAGGAATCGGGACCCCTGGGATTTTGGATCCCCAGGATTCGGGATCCCCGGGATTCGGGATCCCCCCCCGGGATTCGGGAACCCCCCCCCAGGATTTTGGATCCCCAGGATTTGGGAACCCCCCGGGATTCGGGAACCCCCAAGGATTTAGGGAACACCCCCTGGGATTCGGGATCCCCGGGATTCGGGATCCCCGGGATTCAGGATTCCCGGGATCCGGGACCCCCGGGATCCGGGATTCCTGGGATCCGGGATCCCCAGAATTCAGGATCCCCAGAATTCGGGATCCCCAGGATCCGGGATCCCCGGGATTCAGGATCCCCGGGATTCAGGGATCCCCAGGATTCAGGATTCCCAGAATTCAGGATCCCCAGAATTCAGGATCCCCAGAATTCGGGATCCCCGGGATTCGGGACCCCCAGAATTCCGGATCTCCGGATCCAGGACCCCCAGAATTCCGGACCCCCAGAATTCCGGACCCCCAGAATTCAGGACCCCCAGAATTCCGGACCCCCAGAATTCGGTATCCCCAGAATTCAAGACCCCCAGGATTCCGGACCCCCAGAATTCCGGATCCCCAGGATTCAGGATCCCCGGGATTCCGGATCCCCAGAATTCAGGACCCCCAGAATTCCGGACCCCCAGAATTCCAGACCCCCAGAATTCCGGACCCCCAGGATCCCGGACCCCCAGAATTCCGGATCCCCCCAGAATTCCGGACCCCCAGAATTCGGTATCCCCAGAATTCCGGACCCCCAGAATTCCGGACTCCCAGAATTCCGGATCCCCCCAGAATTCCGGATCCCCGGGATCCAGGACTCCCAGAATTCCGGACCCCCAGGATTCCGGACCCCCAGATTTCCGGATCCCCAGAATTCCGGATCCCCCCAGAATTCCGGATCCCCCCAGAATTCCGGATCCCCAGAATTCCGGACCCCCAGAATTCCGGACTCCCAGAATTCCGGATCCCCCCAGAATTCTGGACTCCCAGGATCCAGGACCCCCAGAATTCGGTATCCCCAGAATTCCGGACCCCCAGAATTCCGGATCCCCCCAGAATTCCGGATCCCCAGAATTCCGGACCCCCAGGATTCCCGGATCCGGGCCGGTACCTGGCCTCCAGCAGCCCCTCGGGGACGCTGCCGGTGGAGCGGCGCTGCGCCGGGCCCGGCTCCGGCCGCTCGCCGTTCTCAAAGTGCCGGATCATGGTCCGGACGCTGCCCGGCTTCCCGGCTGGAAAAGCGGGAATTCCGGCCGGGATGAGCCCCACTGCCCAGGCCCAAAGCCCAAACTCCCCGCCCGAATTCCCAAATTCCCAAATCCCAGACCTGATCCTGCTTCCCTAAATCCCAAATTCCCAAAT